GTTTTCTCTCCAGCATGTACTACGGTTTCAACCTCGCCTGAGGCCTTTTCGTATCCCCAACCGGACTCGAACCCGGGCCATGCGTGTTAAATGGTGATAAGTTACAACTCTGCCATACAACCATACTGTGGCTCATCAGAGGGTCACCACAGACAAGCCAAGAAGCCCTTGCAACATCACACGTTGTTATGATGGGATTATTGGACTCACTTCTTTTTTTGGCTCATCTAACAGCATGTAGCCATGAGTCACTGGGGGAAATGCGAGAATGGCAAGCTGATGTCTGTTTAATGGTATCATGGCAAAAGGTTTCACATTTTCATCACACTGGATGAAGAAGTTTCCAGAAAATCTGACGGGACTCGAACTTAGCCTTCTGAATAGAATGAACATTGCATATCTTCATTTTAGCCACTTTCACTTGAGATGGAGGTAAAAAGATTGTATGAAAACCCAACGTTAATTATATTAATTTATGCGATTGCCAATATGGTAAATATGCATTTGACATTGCGTTCGACGAAGTTACGTATCTTCGGCGAAAGTGTGCTTCGAAATTGTCACACGTTCGTGAAAAATGAGTTAAAATAAGAATTGACAATTGAATGTGCCTACAATACCAATTAATTTCACTCAGCCTATATCTCAGAGGAATTTATTAAAATGGCAAAAGCAAACAGAATGAACGATTAAATATAGCTACTGGCATACGTTTGATTTTGTCTGAAAACGCGATTGGAAGACATTCGAAATTGGCAGCACCGGATCCCGAAGGAAGGCTGACGTCGTGCTGAACTTTCGTTCATCATGTCAAAGACATCGCTACAGCCAGAAGCCGTCATTTACAAACAATTCTCAAAAATAGAAAACCAAGAAAGGTGGCCGGCTGAAGTTCTATTTAATTCTTATGCCCCAAATTTGCTATCTTCACGAGACATTTCATGATTTGCTGGCCACTTTCTGCTTTTTCTACATGAACGTAGACCAGAAAAGTTGATGCATGAAATGGGGTTGGGTGTGGTCCCGGATTTTTTTAAAACGCCACTTAAACCAGCGTATGATTCTGCTAAACTGAAGCTTGTTTTAGGTTCTTGGATGTGTATGCCTTGTGTGTATGGAATACTCATGGACAACCGTTCGTGGTTTAGTGATTTGTGTTGCTTTTTTGTTTATAAGTAGGCTTTCGAGGCTACACGTAGATCATGCAGATGAGATATATGCATCTTATTTCGTTTATAGAACTCCTGGCAATGCGGCGTAGCGAAAAACTTTACTTTCATGGTTCGAGTCCCGCTGTGGGTGTAAATATGGCATAGAAGAGGTCAAAACTGCAGTTCCCGCTGGATGAGAATAACCTTTTGGGAGACAAGGCTATGTGAAATTGAATGGAAGCGTAAGGTCTACTCAGATTATTGTGTGAAACGTCAACTACCAGCCCCATTATCACCTTAAACGGCATTAGATGAATTCATCTCATATATCTTTTGGTGATTGTTTGTAAATGGGAAATTTCTGGTTTACTCGATGTCAGTCACACGACGGAGCAGAAAACTCAGCACCATGTAATCGGGTCACAAGTCCAAGGCAACCCTCATTCGGTATCCGGTGAGGCTAATTTACGAGGTCCTTTGACCCGAATTGTCAAGCCAAATGTACGGTATGCCAATCTCGATGTACTAAACCTTCGTTCGTCATATCATCCTTAGACTTTTCCTTTTAAGTTAGGCCCCCTAGACCACCAGTTGATCATATAAATGATGTGTATTCATCATATTTCGTTGTTGTATTTACTGTGTCTTACACCAACCAAATCACTTTGCAGCATTTGGGTGTGAGCTTGAGTAGGGTTGTAAATATGATACATGAAATGTACTCATCGCATTGTGTTTAGGATGAGAAAGTTGAATTTTCCCACAATTATATGAGTAGACCTGAGGTTTTCATTCAATTTCACACGACCTTGCTGACTTGACTATGGTTTTGAAATCGCCGCTACAGGTCCCATCGGCACCCCAGGTGGGACTCGAAGCATGACGGTGCATCGCATAATCTCGACACGTTAAGCATTACACCACATTACCACCACATTTCGACTTAGGCTACGTCGAAACAGCAGTCCGCTTCTGGCTGGCTAAGAAGGCCTTTCGAGAAAAGCCAGACCATGTGAAATTCACTGGAAGCCTTAGGTCTAATCGTATCATTGTGAGAACATTCAACTATTTGAGTCCCCTTATCACACTAAACGAAATATAATGAATACATCTTATTTATATGATCTACTGGTAGTCTCGAAAGTCTACACTTAAACGAAAAATGATGCCGTCCGTCATACCAAGCTTAGCACATTTTCACCGGACTCGAAGAAGATTCCCTCAGAAACAGAGCCAACAAGAAGGTTCCAGTAAAACCAATCCGCTGTCGTCTTCTGATGGGATCCACTTATGAACCTCTCATCCAATAAATCTCGTTCGAGACGGAAGTAAGCTTCATCAAAAATCAAATTTTCTTCGCATGCCTCGTTGCCATTGAATACTAATTTGGTCAGGCTAGTTGGCTCGTGGTAAATTAAGTAGTGACAATTGCGAATTCTGCCTGTAAACCTATTTCTATGCCGAAAACCGTCTCTTCTGGTGCCGTCTGTCGGCTGGCGATGGAAGCCATCTTGTAACCTGTCCGCGACCGGCTCTTAGATTGACCACATTCTATGCTTTGTCCAGTAAAAAGACTGCCGATGTACAATAATTGTGTAATCTGAGTGCCAACACGCACGGGAAAAGAGATGAGCAAGTTTCAGCAAATCTGGCCTCAATTCTGCCTCATGATCACGTCATCCAGATCATTCAGCCATTTCGATCACGCCTCCTCCGCTGGCGGCTTCGGTGAAGTTTGGCTCGAGTCCGCGTTGAACAGTGCCATGATTGAGTTGTACGAAGGCGGAGCACCAACCTCTTTGGACAACCGGTCGTCGCGACGCCCACGACCGGCTTCGGCGAGCTGGCCCAGCTGACTGTTGCCAGGCTCGAGGCGTCGGTTCGAGAAGGGCAACGGCGAGCCGGCCATCTTCCAGACGGTCGTGGTGGTGCCACGTCTGCTGGCTCCAGTCGACATGTTCAAGGTCGTCGAAGAGGATGAGGCCGTCAATGTTGTTGCTGTGGCTGTCGGTCTCGGACATTCAGCATTTCGACGAGCTTCCGAGACGTGATTGAGCCACGATTGGCGAGCCTGCAGGCCACGACGTGTCAGGCTGCAGTCCTCCCAGTAGACAAAGACACAAATGACGCCCAGCAACAAAAGCGAGACTGTGGCCGGAAGCAGAAGATAGAGGAGGAGGCGAAAGTTGAACCGGCCCAGCAGAAGACCGGCCGTCTGTTGGTTGGCCGAGTCGTCGGTGTTGGCGACGAGTGGATGATCGATTCGGTGATGGCGTAACAGACTCTGCTGGCGAGCGCGATCGAGCCCGCCGAGCTGGTCGTGGCTCGAGTCGATGCCGGGCTCGGAGCCGTGGCCGGAGGCGGCAGCAAGCGAGGAGACAGCAAATCGGCCCGTGGTGGTGTAGAGCAGTTGCATTCGATGGTACCAAGTGTCACGAACATGGTCGAGGTCGTCGGGTTGGAGAATGGCGAGAAAGATGCGTCGCACAACGGCCGATTGGATGAGCGGAGTCGCCGTCTCCGAGTCAACTTGGCCGGGATTCGGCGGCAGACCGCAGGCCAAATAAGTGATCTCGTCGGGTGAGTTG